TATGCAACTTTTACTATATTGTCGCGCGTGACCGCCTCCGGTTCTTTGAGACAACGACGCTTCCTCTTTCGTGGATCACCTAACCGGGCTCCCGTTGCTCTCCCTCTGCAGCTCTACCTTGCAGATGCACCCAAAGACCTCCAAGAACCACCGCTAAAGTGGAATTCCTTTCCTCTGGCAGTATCTCTCGGCCTTACCACTGGTGGGGAGACATGAGAGACTTACCAGAAGAGTAGCAGCAGCGATGGCGAGAGTAACAACAGCAACCGGCACCGAGACTTCAAACAGTCCTTTTTTATTGTCATTTCTACTACACATTACATATACCTGGAATAATAAACAACGGGTATTTACATTACGTTACCTCCTGGGGCCAATATAAACGTGTATTTACAACTATTTGCTCCAGGAACCATAGCTGTCGGTGATATCCGCACAAGTTCCAAACGGGAAACAGGCGAAAGCGTCATCTATTGGCGGAGGTTGTAGATGTTTTCAGGCCTTATACGCGAGAACATAATATATTTTCATTTTACAAAATAAACATGCCTCTATTCACATAAAATTTTAATATATAAAATAAAAATGATGAAATATTGAAAATCTAATAAATGCAAACATCTAGAAAACACACATTTCGAAATTTAATATATTTTAAAAGGATATTTCTTCATACACATATTCGCTTGGGTTTTTTTAACAAAAATATTTCATAAGAAAGCATTTTCATATAATATTTTTGGTTTTTCCTTCACGTTTTTATTGTTTCGATAATAAATATATATTTGCAAAATAAACGTTCCTCTTGGCATATTTTTCTTTTAGTTGGAATATTCCTTTTTGTTTTTACTTTCTATCAAAATATATATTAATATGTGAAAATAATAGAAAAATTAAACGCCAACAGCAAGATCGCGATTGTGGATGACTTTTCTTGATTTATCAATAAAATGGGTTGGCCAAATATCAGGGAACAGGCTAAATCAATATTTAGTTGATTTCTGTTCCACTAAATGGCGCCCTGCAATCTAAAAAGCCCATGTGCTTCTGGTCAGGATAGGTCTTCTTTATTTTTAATATATTAATAGGTTATAAATAAATTCGCTGAGGAAGGAATTGTTGTGGTGTCTTGTCCATGGAGCAGATCAGATCTGTCCATGCACCCTGATCACAATACCGGCCAACTAAGGTGTCTTGTCCATGGAGCAGATCAGATCAGTTCATGCACCCTGATCACAATACCGGCCAACTGAGGTGCCTTGTCCATGGAGCAGATCAGATCGGTCCATGCACCCTGATCACAATACCGTCTAACTGAGGTGCCTTGTCCATGGAACAGATCAGATCGGTCCATGCACCCTGATCACAATACCGTCTAACTGAAGTGCCTTGTCCATGGAACAGATCAGATCGGTCCATGCACCCTGATCACAATAGCGGCTAACTGAGGTGCCTTGTCCATGGAGCAGATCAGATCGGGTTATGCACCCTGATCACAATACCGGCCAATTGAGGTGCCTTGTCCGTATTGATTTTGTTGCTCCATGGAAAGGGGTGAGGGGGAACTGTCATTGCCAAATCAATAAAGTTTTATTAATCTTTTTGGAATCCGTATCTTTAAAAAGTCTGAGCAAAATCAACACGTTTCTGTTTAAAAATGTAAATTGAAGCAATTATCCCTAGCGATGATATCGGGTTTTATGTATTGAAATAAAACAATAAAATAATAAAACAGTTTGGTAAATCGTATTAATAGATAACCCAAGAAATTATATGTATGTACCTCTACAGACCAATAAGCTTATGTCCATAGTTCACTAAACATCCCTAAGCTTCCTTCCATAGAAAATACAGAGTATATCCCAAACCAATCCAATACAATAATAGAGTGGTCTAGAGATTAATTTGGGGAAACAGCTGAGAGGGGTCACTACTGATGAGTCAAGCCCTCTCATTCAATAACTTATATCATTGCAGTAAGGTCTGTAGATATAATATTTGTTGATATTATTGGGAAAAAAAACATATTACCAGTAAATTTATTTGTTAAAATTTTTGTCAATAAATCGTGAAATAACACGGAATTTATTCTCAGATGCTACATTTCTCGATGCATTAATCAATTTTGAATTTTTATTTCCAATAAAGAAATGTATATTGAATATGACATCTTTTGTAGATATATTTTGATTATATAGCAACAAATATCTTTTAAGAAAATATTAATGATATGTTGATTGAACATATTTCCAGACATTTCTTTCTTTTTTATACAGTTCTCTGTTCTCGTTTTATTTTTTCTCTTTCTTCTTAATATTGCCACGTGGAAAATTAGGAAAGACGAACTTCAGGATGACACAGCAATTTATTTAAGGCAAGAACAATCTATGAATGATAATCAAAAGATAAGAAACGATGGAAAGTTTACAGAGTAGCAAAATATAAACATAAAAATGATACTCTGTAAATAAAATATTAAATACTTTGATTCAACATCAAATGACTATTCTCTTTACTGTGTTTCTTTCGAACGAAAAATTAAAATTTATTTCAAGGAGAAATAACGATTATTTCCAACCTTTGGGATGAAGTATGAAAGGGTGAATTGTGAAGAGTAATGATAAATGGAAAAATAAAAGTGTCCAGGGATGGGAATCGAACCCACAGTGTTCCGCTTACCGGGCAGATGCCATGTCCTTTTCGTTGGAAAGAAACACATGCGGGATAATTTTCAAATGTCATTTTACAATCACAAGCCACATTATATTATATTGTATTATAAATTACTTTATGTATTATTAACGAACGGTAAAATATGTCCAGGGTAGCCTAGTGAATTTGGCATCGGCGCGGTGAGCGGAACAATGTGGGTTCGATTCCCATCCCTGGACACTTTTTTTTCCGTTTATCATTTACTCTTCACAATTCACCCTTTTATACCTCATCCTAAAGGTTAGAAATAATCGTTATTTCTCCTTGAAATAAATTTTGATTTTTCGTTGGAAAGAAACTCATGCGGGATAGTTTTCAAATGTCGTTTTACATATATATGCATAGACAAATTTAAAGTATACATGTATGACAGTGCAAGTGTCCCTAGGAGGACATATCGCTCTAAATTGGAATAAATAAATGAATAAATCAATTTCTGAAGGAGTTGATATATTACAAACTGACATAGAAGGTCTTTTGGAAGACTGACGTCTTTGCCAGCCATGCACGTCTGTCTTTAATATTCAATGATGCATCATGATATATTCATATCACAATTACCGACATACTTAATTTGGCACAGGAATCCTAATTACATATGAAATTTTAATGTTGTGCCATTTTCAATTAGTTTCAAAATTTAAAATTCTTGCCTGTTATCTAATTTAGTAAATTGAGTTTTAATATAGTGAGTGTTAAAACAAACAAGACTTCACTTCATTGTATTCTTCGTTGAATTCTCTAGCTAAATTAATTTTTCCAAATTTCAAGTTTTCTCAAAATAACCTAACTCCCATTCTCTCGGGAAATTAAAAATACTTATCTATATTTATATCAATATAGAAGTAAAAATTTGCACAATTCTCGAATATATGAATATTTAATTAAAAATACATTATTGTTTGTTTTGTGGATAAAAAAAAATTATATACCGTTAAACCTGTCTATAGCGTTCCCTCTAAATAGAGCCTCCCTCTCTATAGCACCCGATTTTAAATACGTAGTACGATGCGATTTACATTAAAAGTGACCTTTCTATAGCACCCCCTCTCTATAGTACCCTATTTTGATGAGTCCCGAGAGGGAGCGCTATAGATAGGTTTAACTGTACCAATATTTCAGTTGGATGAACGTCAACCTTTTTCAAGGTACAAAAACAAGTAATACAAGTAGTTGTAACAACGTTGTTGTACCTTGAAAAAGGTTGGCATTCAGTCAACTGAAATATTGGTTAACAATTTTTTTAATCCAATATATATTGCCTTTTAATATATATAATCAAATATCTTTTTGCGGATTGCTATTTCTTGAAGGAAAACATATGAATATTTTAGAAATATATTTTTTGCACTATTTTAAAAATATATATATATTTGAAATCTATTTTACAGACATTTTTTATACTGCAATGATTAAAATTTTAAGGAGGAAAAGCATGGCTCCTCAGTGGTGAACCCTCTCAGCGGTTTCACCATTCTAATCTTCAGACCGCTTTACTATTGTATTAGAATGAATTGTGATATACCTTGCATTTAAAAGTATTTATTGTTATTGGTCTTGATTACAAAATTTTTTATTCTTATTTTATTTTTTGCAATGAGTATTTGCACGTTGCAAAATTTATCAGTGTTATTTACTCATATATCAACTACTTTAGCTAATTTACTCAAATAGCACCCCACATCTTCCACCTTTAGAGAGTGAATGTTTATACAACCAATAATATAAAAATATGTAAATTAATCACCGTTAAACATATTGTATCGTAGAAATCAGGTCTTTGTATATCTGAAGATGTAAAAGTATTTATTGATGACGTTATCGCGATGATACTTCGCCTCTGAAGAGATGGTGTGGTCCTAGAGACCAATATATGTATAGACAATTGTAAAGACAAACATGTATGACAGTGCAAGTGTCCCTAGGGGGACATAGCGCTTTAAGTTGAAATAAATACCCCGTCTCTGAGGAGATGGTGTGGTCCTAGAGACCAATATATGTATAGACAATTGTAAAGACATACATGTATGACAGCGCAAGTGTCCCTAGGGGGACATAACGCTTTAAATTGAAATAAATACTTCGTCTCTAAGGAGATGGTGTGGTCCTAGAGACCAATATATGTATAGACAATTGTAAAGACAAACATGTATGACAGTGCAAGTGTCCCTAGGGGGACATAGCGCTTTAAATTGAAATAAATACTTCGTCTCTGAAGAGATTGTGTGGTCCTAGAGACCAATATATGTATAGACAAATGTAAAGGCATACATGTATGACAGTGCAAGTGTCCCTAGGAGGACATAGCGCTTTAAATTGAAATAAATACTTCGTCTCTGAGGAGATGGTGTGGTCCTAGAGACCAATATATGTATAGATAAATGTAAAGACATACATGTATGACAGTGCAAGTGTCCCTAGGGGTACATAGCGCTTTAAATTGAAATAAATACTTCGCCTCTGAAGAGATGGTGTGGTCCTAGAGACCAATATATGTATAGACAAATGTAAAGACATACATGTATGACAGTGCAAGTGTCTCTATGGGGACATAGCGCTTTAAATTGAAATAAATATTACGTCTCTAAGGAGATGGTGTGGTCCTAGAGACCAATATATGTATAGACAAATGTAAAGACATACATGTATGACAGTGCAAGTGTCCCTAGGGGGACATAGCGCTTTAAATTGAAATAAATACTTCGCCTCTGAGGAGATGGTGTGGTCCTAGAGACCAATATATGTATAGACAAATGTAAAGACATACATGTATGACAGTGCAAGTGTCCCTAGGGGTACATAGCGCTTTAAATTGAAATAAATACTTCGCCTCTGAAGAGATGGTGTGGTCCTAGAGACCAATATATGTATAGACAAATGTAAAGACATACATGTATGACAGTGCAAGTGTCTCTATGGGGACATAGCGCTTTAAATTGAAATAAATATTACGTCTCTAAGGAGATGGTGTGGTCCTAGAGACCAATATATGTATAGACAAATGTAAGGACATACATGTATGACAGTGCAAGTGTCCCAAGGTGGACATAGCGCTTTAAATTGATATAAATACTTCGCCTCTGAGGAGATGGTGTGGTCCTAGAGACCAATATATGTATAGACAAATGTAAAGACATACATGTATGACAGTGCAAGTGTCCCTAGGGGGACATAGCGCTTTAAATTGAAATTAATACTTCGTCTCTGAGGAGATGGTGTGGTCCTAGAGACCCAAAATATATGTATAGACAAATGTAAAGACATACATGTATGACAGTGCAAGTGTCCCTAGGAGGACATAGCGCTTTAAATTGAAATAAATAAATGAATAAATCAATTTCTGAAGAAGTTGATATATTACAAACTGACATAGAAGGTCTAGTGTGAGACTGACGTCTTTTCCAGCCATGCACGTCTGTCTTAAATATTCAATGATGCATCATGATATATTCATATCACAATTACCGACATACTTAATTTGGCACAGGAATCCTAATTACATATGAAATTTTAATGTTGTGCCATTTTCAATTAGTTTCAAAATTTAAAATTCTTTCCTGTTATCTAATTTAGTAAATTGAGTTTTAATATAGTAAGTGTTAAAACAAACAAGACTTCACTTCATTGTATTCTTCGTTGAATTCTCTAACTAAATTAATTTTTCCAAATTTCAAGTTTTCTCAGAATATCCTAACTCCCATTCTCTCGGGAAATTAAAAAAAAACTTATCTATATTTATATCAATATAGAAGTAAAAATTTGCACATTTCTCGAATATATGAATATTTAATTAAAAATACATATATTGTTTGTGTGTG